TTGTCACAATGACTGCTACACTTCAACCCATTGCTGATGTCATTGTGCCAATCCATCTTGTTGGGAGTCTTCCTTTTTTTTTTTTAATGGAACCTCCAGTTTACAAAGCATGATGTCTTCTCTAGGGACTAGTCCTTCCTGATAACATGTCCTGTGCATGAGAGAAGTCTTGCCATCCTGGCTTCTAAGGAACTTCCTGGCTGTACTTCTTCCAAAACAGATTTGTTTGTTCTTCTGGCAGTATGTTGTTGTTGTTAGGTGCCATCGAGTGGGAACCAACTCATAGCGGCCTTATGCACAGCAGAATGAAACACTGCCTGATCCTGGGCCAACCTCACTATTGTTGCCACGGTTAAGTCCATCGATGCTGCCACCTGGCCAGTCCATCTCATTGGGGGTCTTCCTCTTTTTCTCTGACCCTCCACTCTACCTAACATGATATACTTCTCCAGCGACTGGTCCCTCCTGACAATATGTCCGAAGTATGAGAGACGAAGTTTGACCATCCTGGCCTCCAAGGAGCACTCTGGCTGCACTTATTCCAATACGGATCTGTTAGTTCTTTTGGCAGCCTGCAGCACTTTCAATATTCTCCTCCAATACCATAATGTACACACATCAATTCTTCCTTGGTGTTCCTTATTCATTGTCCAGTTTTCACATCCATAGAAACAATTGAAAATAATCAGCTATCAGGCACATCTCAGTTCTCAAACTGACATCTTTGCATTTGAAAACTTTAAAGAAGTCTTGTGCAGGAGATTGGTCTAATGCAATACATTATTTGATTTCTTGGCTGCTGCTTCCATGAGTATTTATTGTGGATCAAAGCAAAATGAGGTTTTGACAACTTAATTCTGTTCTCCATTTATCATGTTGTTATTGAGCCAGTGGTGAGGATTTTTGTTTTCTTTACACTGAGGTGCAACCCATACTGAATGCTGTGGTCTCAGATCTTCATCAGTAAGTATTTTAAATTCTCTTTAATTTCAGCAAGCAAGATTGTATCATCTGCATATTACGGGTTGTTAATGAGTCTTCCTCATATCCTGAAGAGCCATGCTTTTCTTTATAGAATCCATCTGGTGCACATCTTTCCTGGTTTTGAACCATACAGTGTCCCCTTGTTCTCTTTCAAACAACTGCCTCTTTATCTATCTATAGGTTCCTCATGAGCACAAATAATTGTTCTGGAATACCCGTTTTTCACATTATTATCCATAGCCTGTCATGATCTACACTGTCAGAAGTCTTTGCATAGTTAGTAAAGCACAGGTAACAACTTCCTGGTATTCTCTGTTTTCAGCCAAGATCTACTTGATGTCAGCAATTATATTCCTCATCTGAATCCATTTTGAACCTCTTGCTGTTCCCTCTCAATATACTGTTCCAGTTCTTTTTAAACTATCTTCATCAAAATTTTACTAGCATATGATATCAGTGATATTCTTCAATGATTTCAGCATTCTGTGGGGTCATGTCTCTCTGAGATGGACTCAGATATGAATCTCTCCAAACGGATGGCCAACTAGCTGTCTTCCAAATTTCTTGTCATAGATGAATGAGTGCCTCCAGTGCTGTACAAGTTTACTGAATGATTTCAAATTGTATTCCATCAATTCCCAGAGCCTTGTTCTTTGCCAGTGTCAACAGTGTTAGTTGGACTTCTTCCTTCAGTACAATTGATCGTATGTTCCTTCTTGAAATGGTTGAACATTAACCATTGTTTTTGGTACAGTGTCTGTGTATATTCCTTCCATCTTCTTTTCATGCTTTCTTCATCATTCAACATTTTGCCCATGGAATCCTTCAGCATTGCAAGTCAAAGCTTGATTTTTTTTTCAGTTCCTTCACCTTGAGAAATGCTGAGCATGTTCTTCCCTTTTGATTTTCTAACTTTTTATCTTTGCATATTTCATTATAATACTTGACTTTTTATGCCCTTAGAAAGTTTCTGTTCAACTCTTTTACCTTCTTATTTCTTCCATTTATTTTAGCTTCTCCATATTGGAGACCACATTTAAGATCTCTTCTGACATCCATTTTGGTCTTTTCTTTCTTTCTTGTCTTCTTAGTGATCTTTTACTTTTTTCCTCTATGATGTTCTTGAAAGCATCACACAACTCTTATGGTCTTTGGCCGTTAGTATCTAGTGCATCAAATCTCTTCTTGAAATGCTCTCTAAATTCAGGTGTGGTATATTCAAAGTCATTTTTTGGCTCTCATGGACTTGTTTTAATTCTCTTCAGAATCAACCTGAATTTGCATATTAGCAATTGATGGTCTTTCCCACGGTCTGCCCCAGCCTTGTTCTGGCTGATGATACTGAGCTTCTCCACCATCTCCTCCCACAGATTGAGTCAGTCAGATTTCTGTGTATTCCATCTCATTAGGTCCTTGTGTATATTCATCTTTTATGTTGTTAACAAAAGATATCTGCAATAAATAAGTCATTGGTCTTGCAAAATTCTATCATGTGATCTCCAGCATAATTGCTACCACCAATGCTGTATTTTCGAACTCCTGGTCCTTCCTCTTTGTTTCCAACCTTCTCGTTCTAGTGACAACAGTTACGGATATATCTGATTGAACATTTGATCACTTTCAAACTGAAGGAGTTGGTAGAATTCTTCAATTTCATAATCAATGGCTTTAGTGATTAGTGTGTAAATTTGAATAATAGTAGTATTAACTGATTTTCTTTGTAGGCGTATGGAGACTTTCCTATCACAGATATCATTGTACTCTAAGATACAGCTTGAAATGTTCTTTTTGACAATGAGTGCAATGCTATTCCTCTTGAGTTTTTTGTTCCTGATATAGTAAACCATATAACTGTCAGATTCAAAATGGCCAATAACAGTCTATTTCAGCTCATTTATGCCCAGGATATTGATGTTTATGAATTACATTTCATTTTTGATAACTTCCAATTTTCCTAGATTCATGCTTTGTACTTTCCATGTTCTGATGATTAATGGATACAGCTGTTTTTCCTCATTTTGAGTTGTGCTCCATCATCAAGTGAAAACTTTACTCCATTAGTGTCAGCATGGTCAGCTCTACTTTGAAGAGGCAGTTCTTCCTCAGTCATATTTTTGGTGCCTTCCAATCTGAGGGGCTCATCTTCTTGCACTACATCTGATAATATTCTAGTGCTGTTCATAAAGTTTTCATCTTCTGGGACTATATCTGACAATAATCAGTTGCTATTCATAATGTTTGCAGTGGCTAGACATTCAGAAATAGTTCATCCCCTTCTTCCTAGTCGGTTTTAATGTGGAAGCTCTGCTGAATCCTGTCCACCATGGGTGACAGGATTCAGCAGAGCTTCCATATTAGAAGTACCAGTGACATAGCTTCCAGAATTACAGTCACATGCAAACTAGTACAACAAACTGACAGATAAGTGGCGGACCATGCTATTAAATTCTGAGACTAGTACTCGTTTCTCTATGTTCCTCCAGTCCTAGGTATGGTAGCTAGTTCCTATAATTAGTAATATCTGGAGTACCTTATTATTTTCTCTCTGTTTTTCAAGTTTCTAACATTTTTATAAGGAGCTCTGGTAGCATAGTGGTTTACAAACTGGGCTGTGAACCAAGGTCAGCAGTTTGAACACACCAGCTGTCTCATAGGAGAAAGATGAGGCTTTCTGCTCCTGTAAAGATTTATAGCCTCGGTAACTCTGTATGGGGTCACTATGAGTTGGAACCGATTCCACGGCACATAACCACCACCACCCTTTTTATAACCAATCCCTTGCAGTAAGTCCACTGTATTTGAAATATCTAGCAAGGTTTTTATTTTTCTGCCTGGATACAGATGGATACAGAATTCCTTCCTCCTTCTCTTTCATTACCTTGTAATTTTATCCAAAGGGTAATCAGTAAGTGGTTGATGGATATAGTAAATAGAGTAATTACAACAGCAGATTAATATCAATGCATATTTTTTCACCTGTCATATTTAAAGCATGCTAATTGCTAAATATTTTGCCCAATTCATTTTTATACTTACACTTAATAATATGTCTTGGAAATCTTCCTGTAGCAGTCCATCCATGTTATTTTTACAGCTGTACTCTGGTAGCGTAGTGGTTACAAGTTGGGCTGTTAACCTCAAGCTCAACAGTTTGAAACTACCAGTGGTTCCATGGGAGAAAGATGAGGCTTTCTGCTCCCATAAAGATTTATAGCCTTGGAAATCCTATGCAGGGTTGCTATGTGTTGGACCTGACTCCACTGCACACATTCCCTACCACCATAATTTACTTATATGATTTCTGAAGAAACATTTCTTTGTTTCCATTAAAACAAAAACTAAATGACCAGGGGGAGAGAGAAGCTGCACTAAATATACTTACATATGAATCTTTGAGATTTGTTTTTTTGTGTGTGAGGTATCACTAAGATAAATACATAGTAGTGGAGTTTCTAGATCTTAGGAGATGTGAAGATTCTAATACACAATACCACCTTTCTCTGTAATGTACTACATTAGTCTTAAAGGGTTACTATTAGGGAATGCCTCATGATACAATAAAATTTGGACAATTACATTTTTCAGCTTAATTGAGTTCTCTATGGAGGGCAAATGGTTTGTGCTCGACTGCTAACCTATACTTTGATCAAATCCATCCAACAGTACTATGGAAAATATTGAACATTAAGATCATAGACAAGAAATCTTATGCAGCTGCACTATTTTGCAATTCAAGAGGTAACCATGAGTCGGATTTGACTCTACAGCAACTAACGACAATGACAACAAAGATAACCCATTGATGCCATTCTCACTCCCAATTCTCCTTCACTTTGTATCATGGAGGAATGATATGAAACTCAACAAGCAAACAACTCAAGCTAAAAAAGCAACCAACAACAGCTCTAGGAAATGGGAGTTGTCCCAGGAGTCTGTACTGTTATCAGAGAATTTCTTTGCTAACTATTTTCTACGTCTTGCAGAGATGCTTAAAGCAAAAAAATATTTGAACTCACCTGTAGGCAAATCAAATGGCACATCAGAGGATGCTCTGCTCAACAATGCAACAAAATTCTGCCATCTGTCCAATAAAAGGAACAATAATTTTAATGTCAAACACATATATTATTGGTCACCATTTTCATCACCCTAGAAGAATATGAATTGAATCTTTAACTTTGTACCAATAAATTTATATTAAAAGCTTTTGATACCTATATCATTCTAGGTTCAATTTAGGAAACAGAAACCACTTTAGGTATCTGTATTAGAAAAGATCTTAATGTAGAGAATAAAGTGCACACAAAATTATCGCAAGGGCTTTAGGGATGGAGGTTGGGGGATACTTCTAATTTCATATTCAGATCTTCACAATGTGATCTAAAGATCAGGCACTGGCAAACATCTGCGTGATGTCTCAGTTGCCCCTAATCATGAAGCTGGCGACTAGGTAGTACAAACACTAATGCCTGCCAGGGTAAAGAGTAGTAACTATATTACTGCAGAAGACATGAATACATGAAATAACATTAGCCCCTCCACCCAATCTGCCTTCCAAATTTCCTGTAATTGCATCTCACTGATAGAACTTAAATGGATTCTAGAACCTCAGTGCCAAAGAAGTATGGGAAATGAACTTTTAAAAATTTTGGGATACAAAAATTGGTCCTCCCTAAAGATATATTTTTCCCAAATAAAATGGATGTCAGAGGAGACACTGAAACTTGTTCTCCAGTGTAGAGATGCTAAAGCAAATGGAAGAAATGAGAAGGTACAAAAGATGAATAGAAAAGTTCAAAAGGTCAGCTCGAGAATATAAAGTCAAATATCACAACAAAATGCACAAAGATCTGGAGTCAGAAACTATGAAGGAAGAATGCTCAGCATGTCTCAAGCTGGGGGAACTGAAGAAAAAATCAAACCCTCAACTTTCATTATTAAATGATTCTTTGGGCAAATTATTGAATGATGCAGAAAGCATCAAGAAGATGGAAGGAATACACAGAGGCACTGTACCAAAAGGAAATGGTTGATGTCCAACCATTTCAAGATGTACCACATGATCAAGTGCCAATGATACTGAAGGAGGAAGTCCAAGGTGCATTGAAGGAATTGGCAAAGAAAAATGCACCAGGAATTGATGGAATACACATTGAAATCTTTCAAGAAAGTGAGACAGCACAGGAGGCACTCACTCATCTCTGCCAAGAAATTTGGAAGACATCTATCTGGCCAATTGATTGGAAGAGATCCATATTTATGCACATTCCAAAGAGAGGTGACACAATGGAAAGTGGAAATCATTGGACAATCTCTCTGATATCCCATGTGAGTTAAGTTTTACTCAAAGTAATACAGAAACGGCTACAATCATACATTGACAGAGAATTCAGAAGAAGCTGTGGAACAAGTGATATCATTGCTGGTGTCCGCTGGAT